ATTAACTATATAATTAATATTTTAAATATAAAATTAAAGAATAATATATATAAAAAAGGATAATAATTTATAAAAAGTATTATCTTTTATAATAGTATAATAATAAATACTTAAAATATTAAAAAAAAAAAAGAAAAATATAAAAACCTTTAATAATAGTTATATAAATAAAAGTTTAATTTTAAAACTTATAATAAAAGCTATATTTATAAAAAAAATATTATATATTTTTATAAATTTTATTTAAAAGAAATTACTATTTATAAATATTAATAATATTATAAAGTTATTAAAGTAAATTAAATTAAATAATAATAAAATAATACCTTTAATATTATATATAAAAATATATTTATTTATAATATTATAAATAAAAATTATAAAAAAATTTATATTAATATAATTAAAATTATTAATATAAAAATATTTAAAATAAATATATAATTATTTAATAATATTATTATTATATATATTAATAGTAATTTAAATTATAATTTAATTTTAATTTAAGTAATTAAAAATTTATAAATTTTTATAAAAAAAAATATATATATACTTTATAAATAATAAATGTTTATAAAAATAAAAAATAAAAAATAAATTTATTAAATATAAAACTAATTATTTTTTATTAATTATTAATAAAAAAAAACTTATATAATTTAATTTAATATTTTAAATATATTAAATTATAATATACTTTTTAAATACTTTTGGTTAATTAATAATATCTTTATAATTTAATAAAAAATTAATTAAATTTACTAAAATATTAAAGATATTTTTAAATATTAACTATATTAAAAAAAATAAAAAGATAAAACTATACTATTAAAAAAACTAAAATCCTTTATATAAAATATAAAAATAATAATAAAAAAAATTAAATTTAAAAAAAATAAATTATTAATATTATTATAATATAATAAATAAAAAAATAAAATAAAATATATTTATATTAATAAAATTATAATATAATTTAAAAATAAATTAATAATATTAAATAATATATTAAATAAAATATAAAAAAAAAAATTAAAAAAAATTTAAAAATACTTTTATTTAAATTTTTTATTAATTTAAAAAATATAAAAATAATATTAAATATTAAATTACTATTATATTTATAATAAAATTATATTATTAAGTTAATATATAAAAAATAAGTTAAATTTTATAAAATTTATAACTTTAATAAAAAAAAGCTTAAAATATTAAAAGAATAATTAAATAAATAATTAAAAAAAATTTATATTTAAATATTTAATTTATTAATAAAATATTTTATTATATTTATATTAAAAAAAATAAAAAGCTTTAATTAATTATTAATTACTAATAATTTAATAAAATTATTATTAAAAATTAAATATTACTATTATTAATTTTTAAAATTAAAAATTAATTATTAATTATAAAATAATTTATAATTTTAAATTTAAAAAAAACTTATAACTTTATTAAAATTAAAAAAAAAATAAATAAATAATATTTAAAATATATTATAAACTATTTAAATATTTAATTATACTTTTTAAATTTATTAATATATTAATTATATTTTAATATATAATTAATAAAATCTTTAAAAAATATATTAATAAATTTATTATTATATACTTAAATAATATTCTAATTTACTTTAATATTTTAAAAAAATATATTAAATATATATATTAAATTTTAAAAATTTTATAAATAATTAATTTATTAATAAAATTAAAAAAATATTAATGTTATATATAAAAAGTTAATTTTTTAAAATATATTATTTTTTTAAAATAAATTTTTTAAAATAAATTTAAATAAACTTTATTAAAATAATAACTATTAAAAAATAAAAAGTTTTTAAAATAATAAAAAAAATTTAAAGTTTTTTTAAATTAATAAATTATTATTAATAGTTTATTAAAAACTATAGTAAAGTTATTATCTTTTTTATAAATATTTATTTTTTTTTAAAAAATTTTTTTTTTAATAAACTATAATTAGTTATTATTATTTTAATATAAGTATAAATAAAATCTTTTATATTATATAATAAAAAACATATTTATTTTTTAACCTTTACTTTATATTAAACATAAAGATTAGGATATTACACTTATTAATATTTTATTATAGAATACTAAAATAAATTTATCTTTTAGGAATAATTAACTTATATTAATATATAAGACTCTGTGTATCATAGGTTATAACATAAGTTTAAAGATTGTATATTTCCGCTGGGTTAGGTAGTTAATTAAGTTAATTAATATAACCAACTTAACATCGTTATTATATTCGATTAGTTGATTAGTAAGTATATACTACGTTAAGTATAGTTGGGTTGGTTAACATCAACTAGATTGACAATTTTATAATTGAGGTTGAGTTGATCGCCACCCTGGATTATTTAGTTAGCAAGCCAAAAAGCCAAAACAGGAGATGATTAATAAAGGATTTCACTGATCTAGAATAAAAATAACCCATTACTCATAATTCAGTACAGCTTTTACTTTATAAATGCATAAGAAAATATAAGACTAGCTAGATCTCTATAACAGCGATGTAGAGTAGTTATAACGATAGTAACAATGTAACGTCTTGTAATAGTCCCAACGTAAGCCATAGCTACTAGGTACTATCTATAGATGGGCAACATCATTGGCCAAACGTGGAAAAAGACTCTGCGCATTCTTGTAGTTGATCTTGTCGCGGATTTCTGCCGACAACTCAAAAGTCTCCAAGTCCTCGAGAAAAGCCGGATAGGCTGGGGCTGGCGCATATGGAAAGTCGCTCTGTTAGTCGTCCAATTAGCAAACAGAATCAATTTGCAGGCAAAGTTTCTGTTTGGACGGGGATGGATGTAACTCCTACTGACACCAAAGAGAATGTGCTCATGAGGGACTGTATCCAACAGCGTTCTCAACACCTGCGGCGAGCATGACAGGGCAACATCGTGGTAGAACTTGCGGAATGTCTTTGTGGCCTCCTCGTAGTTTGTGCCAACCTTCCAGTTTGCGGCCAGATCCGGCGTCTTCCTTAGCGGAGTAGAGAGGCGTGTGATGATATATGGCAGCGTTCCTCCGGCGTGACTGAGAATAATCTTGACGTCTGGAAACTTGTCCAGCGTCCGACTCATAATCATGTCCATGGCTGTGCGCGTTGTTTCGTGAGGATAGTCTATCATGGGTTGCAGCAATTGGGGATTAACTAGATTAGTATCCACAGGGTGTGTTGGGTGGATAAAGACCACGGCGCGTCGACGGTTGAGTTCTGCCCATACAGGTTCCAGGTCACGATGTCCGAGGTATATATTGCTAGGGCCATAGCGTGTGAAGAGAGTCACTCCATCGGCTTGGAGCCGGTCAAAGGCATAAGAGATCTCCTCAATCGCGCCTGTCGTGTTCCGGATGTCGGGAAGCGAGGCAAAGAAGCCGAATGAGCCTGGATCGCCATCTCGTAGCTTGGCTGCATACTCGTTCAGGTTGCGGGCCAAGTCCTTTTGCTTCTTTGGGTCCTGCACGATGCAAGCTCCCGGAGCGGTGACCGAGAGGATGGCGGTCTGGATACCCATTCGTCCCATGAGCAGTTTTGACCCCGTGGCTGACCATGATGGTGTCGGCCAGCCACTTGGATCACCTAATCTTATGGTCAGAAAACTTGCTGATATGTGTTGGGCTATGATACCAAGATGGCGACACACCTCCATTTTGCCGAACAGCTGCACAGGCGTCAGTTAGCTCATCAGCTCCTTGGGATTATGCAATGGGGGTGGAGGTGGACCTTTAGAATAAAAGCTTGGCACCATGTGGTGATGGGTGTCGATCTTGTTGACTGGTGGTTGGCCTGGCCATCCGAATGTCTTCTCTACTGCCCAGTCGTGAGCCTGGTCTTTCAAAGATGTCATTCCGGCAAGTAGATTATGCGCAAATACGAGGGGTCTCATTGCGAGGGACTGGTCTTCCGCATCTAAAGTCAACGGCTCCCTGATTTGTTTTGGTTGACTCTCCGCACGTCAAGTTTAAATCAATAGAATTGGGCGACCAGGTTGGAGCCCATGACGATAAATTTGACCGTAGGACTCCGTACTAGTTGAACGCCTTCCAATGTCTAGGAGTCCGGGGTTGCCGTTGCACCGGGACCGTCCCGGGGTGGTCGGATTTGGTTCCGCATTGACACACAGCAAATTACTATACGGGATGCAGCCGACCGGGAGTCTTCCGATGTCCCCTCCATACTCCCCGAGGACTAGTCTAATGTACTCCGTACGGCAGAGGGAAAGCAAGCATCTGATATGGCTACCTCACTGGCCCACCACGCATTTGGTCGCATAACACATTCTTGAGTAGCGAGGCAGTGAGGAAATATGGGAGATGAGGTGCTCTGCTGCTTCCAGGCCTCCACCTCTACTTGATTCAATTTCCGCTTGAAGCGCGGAAATAGCAATCAGGTACCCTATTCTGTCTTGCTATGTGCTGTCATGACGAGTCCAACCAGACCTCGGACAAGAGACGTTAAAGTGTCTGGTCCAAGTCTGGGGGTAAGCCGAGCCACCAGAGAATGTCTGGTGTGCCCCCAGATTTGGGGTCTTGTGGGGATTAGTGGATGGATGGCGCTCCAGCAATGCTGATGCGGAATTGACCTAGACATGGACTGGCATGGACTAGGCATGGACTAGACGGACCGACCAGACACTTGGATAGATGGAGACGGCCAAATATATTCGCACATTTGGCACGTTGAGTACTCGCGGCATTTGTGGCGGAATCAATACCTGCTGCATGAAGCGAAGACGGAGAGTCTCATCACCACAAATAAGCCTTGAGGCTATGACGTCCAGTGTCACTGAACGGCCGCGTCGCCGCAAAATTGCGCTCGCGTGAGTTTTCATACGTGCAGAAGCTCGCCGTAGTGGAGTGCTCCCTTAGGTTGACATGAGAAACAGCTGTGAACCCTGCCGTGACCGCAAAAGCCGCTGTGATGGTGGCACGCCAATATGCTCGGGATGCCAGCGTCGCGGCTTAGCTCTAGATTTGTGTGTCTACAAGGTCGACAATGCTCGAACTGCCAGCAACGAGGCGTGCGTTTTCCCCCTCTCCCACTGTTTCTGAAGAGAGAGGGTGTATTATACGGCGGAATCAAGACATTAACTCCCAACCAGATACATTCGCGCTCTCCATGAGCGCATTCGCTCCCTGGAGAACGCTTGCAAGGGCAGCAGCATATCAGCGCATCCTTTTGGGTCCGATGGTGACCTGTCGAGCTTCGACGCGGTGCGGGAAGATCACCAGCTGCCCCAGGGCGATTGTGCGACCAGCAAGTCAAAGGATGCCCCCATGAATATGCAGCACCAGGTTATAGAACGGGACGACCGGCCAGCAAATTCCACTGGGGCGGCAGACCAAAGGGAAGATGCAAATGGGGCTTTGTCCCCAGTCACAACTCGAAGTTCTTGCCAAGATTCCACTCATCTTCCTCTCGATATGCTGCCACTGGCACCGGCCGACCATATTGACTCGTCCGATGACTCCAACCCTGTTACAGCCATGGGCACTATATCCGCAACGGATGACCATGTCAATTCAGCCCTCAAGGGAACCAACGAGTTTTACGGCAGTTCTTCTGCTGCTTTCTTTATCAAGGAGACGTACGGCTCTATGGGAACCGCCACAGCTGGCTTACGCGGCATGCCTCCAAGAAGCGGATTCGAGGGCGGCCAGTCTGCCAATCTTCTAAGTGCTACGCACACTTTTCACTTCTCGCTGCCACCGCGCTTTGTGGCGGATCAGCTGCTGGATGAGTTCTGGCGGCGGGTATACTACCTATATCCCATGTTTCACCGACCCACGTTTGAGAGTGCATATCACAGTCTATGGGAGGCTCACCGGGAGACAGATTCGACAGCTCCGGCATCAAGTGGCGAGCTGGGGCTTGGAGGATCACCAGGTGCAGGTCCAGGCAGCATCGTCTTCCATTGCGCCTTGAACACAATATTTGCATTGGGTTGCTCGTTCCTGGACGCTCCAGCCTCGGAAAAGTCCAACGCAATCCAGGTGTACTTTCTGAGAGCCAAGCACTTTATTGGGCTCGACTTTCTCGATATGAATAACATCGGCGTGGTACAGTCTCTGCTTTTGATGACACTCTTTCTCCAGTCTACGTCATTTGCAAGCCGTTGCTGGAATGCGGTAGGAATAGCCTGTCGTGTTGCTCAAGGGCTTGGGCTTCACGCTGAGCCTGATGTAGCCAGCCGAAGTCCCCTTGAGAGAGAGATACGAAGGAGGACCTGGCACTGCTGCCTCGTCCTAGATAGGTTAGTTTTGCTAAATGAGCTTCAACCATTCTTACCCTGGGGGGCGGCTGCGAATATAACGGAAGCTAACTTGATTTGCTAGGCTTGTGAGCATGACATTCGGCCGTCCTACCATGACGGCGCACTTGTCCAATCTAGAGCTCCCGTCTTCCATGGATTACGACTCAAGTAATGGCGAAGATGGCATTGGTGGCAACCAAAATGCTGAAGTGTCGAGATATCTTTTCAATGTCGAGCATATTCGGCTTTGCAACATCTTGGGCGAAATTTTATTCCAAGTCTTTCAACCCTCTGATGGGCCATTGTCCGCAAAGCAGTCCAATGGCAGACCTAATGAGGGGCATCACGGACTCGACGTCATTCTAAATTTAGATGCACAGCTCTCGGAATATGTGAAGACGGTCCACCCGGCCTTGTCGTGGGTGTACCCGCGCGCAGTCACCTCCGTGAAGCCCGAGATCAAATCGGTTCTTGAAATGCAACGAAACGCGCTCCATGTCAGGTGAGCTTCAATTTATTATTCATTCACATTAAGACTCTTGCAGCCTAACAATATTGAAAAAAAAAAAAGATTCCTATATTTTAGATTGATGCTACACCGGCCAACGTTGACGAATGTATGCATCACCTCTGGCGTGGAAGAACTTGACTCCTCACTACCGTACGACGCGCGCCAGACTTTGTACAAGTCCTGCGCTATCGAGAGTGCCAAGATATGCATTCAAAGCGCAATGCAGCTTTTGGAGGCGATGGCACGGACTTGTGCCACTTCCACATCAACCGGGTGGTGGTGGACTGGATTATGTGAGTGGAAAAGAAGTTCGCAGATTAGTTGTCTGCTCATGTCGGATTCATCTACACTAGCTAACCATCAACAGATACCAGCACCGCCGGTTTGGTGCTGCTAATTGGACGTTCTAACCCTCTGCTGGAAGCGTCTATGGGCCGTCAAGCAATGGAACAGTCGTGGCGTGCTTGTCAGGCTATTCTGAACGAGCTATCATCCTCCAGCCCATCTGCTCAGAGGTCCATCAAGCTATTGCAGGCTCTCAACGCCAAGCTCACATCCCGGACCGAACGGGGCCATGCAGTTCCACTGGAAGCAGATCGGACTGAGAAACAGCATGCTATCCCCACCGGCATACAGCCAGACCGTTGTGCGGCTCGGGTTCATGTTGCCACTGAGCCCGAGGCACAGAATAATCAGTTCGCCACTGGCTGGCATCCCCCAGGCTGCGTGTTGCCTGGTCTACAGGCTGACAAGGTTCCAAATTTTGACATGGAGGACTCATTCGTCAATTGGGACCAGGCCATGGATTTCATGACAGATGCACCTGGCTTCCTGTAAATCTATCCCTCATCTCGGACTCCATGGACTAACTGGGCTTGCTTGTACCACCTAAGCAGTCTTCAAAGTGGTCCACTCCTTGCAGTTATCGAGATAGAGTAACTAAAGTCGGACAGATGCTCACGGCATTGTAAAATATGGCTGCAGGCGCAGCTTGCTGGGACGGTGTTCAAAAACACAGGACCAGACGTGAAAGCGAGAGATTCAGCCAACAGTAATATTGGCCTTGTATATAAATCAAGCAACCTAGTATAGAGCAGGTAGAAAAAGTATCCTTTCATACGGAAGATGATACAGAGCCGGTACAAATGCGGATTGGGAATTAGTTCTGCTGAGACATTGAAAAACAGCTCTACCACGAATCCATAACCATTTCTCCTCATGGATTCTGCCCATCATGATGATTTATAGGTTGTTTGGCCCTGTTCGTTTGTCAGTCATCTAGTTCTACACTGTTCCATAGTAGTTAGAACCTACGCTGAAGCTCCAGTCACTCCAAGTAGGAAACACGCTTCTGTACCAGAAATGCCCTTGGGACCAAGGATAGCTCATTGCGTTCCACTTCTTGCCCTCCTCACCATCTCTCACGTACCAGCTTTTACATCCAGAGAACCAAACCGTCTTCTGCAGGTCAGCTTGAATGCGATCGACATATCTGTGTTCGGCCTCAATCTTGAGATCAACCACGCTCGACTTCCCATCAAGGACTGGCTTAAGAATTCGCAACGCAAAGTTGACGGAATTCTCCGCAGCCATAATGGCAGATGTATGACCAGTAGCCGCATTAGGACCTATCGTAGCTCTCAGTTAGTTTTGCGTAGGTCGATGCGTTTCTTGGGAGCCGTCTCATATCATCCTTACCTAGAAGAACAAAAAAGTTGGGAAAGCCACTTAGCGCGGAACAATTGTATGCCTCTGCTCCCCCAAAGCGATCCCAGTGGTCCTTGATAGTCTCGCCCTGGCGACCGACGACCTCTATATTGCCAAGAAAGCGGTTGGTCACATAACCATTTGCCAGAACAACAACGTCGGCGGGGATAATCTTGTCCTTATTGGTGCGAACGCCGTTTGGCAGAATCTCCACTGCTTCCTCGTTTGTTAGTGTCAGATTCTTGGCATGGAGGCTCTCCAGATAACCGGAATCAAAAATTCGACGCTTGCAGCCAATTTCAAAATCGGGAACAAGCAAGTCGTGATACTTGGCCGGGGCTGTCTTGCGCATATACGCTTCTGCTATCCTGCGTCTCGACTGTCGGAACCTGGCTCCCGCCTTGGTCATAGGAAAGCCTCGGAGTTCGTTTTCCGCGGCCAAAAAGATGATGAAGCGGAAAGCTAGCAAGGCGCCAGGAAACCAGGTGAGGAAGAATTTGAACCAGGCTGGGAATGGCTGGTCGATGGGGGGCAGGACCCAGTGCTTGGAGCGTATGATCTGAGTTAGATGCTTGGTCTTGCCAACGATGCTTGGCACAATTTGAGCCGCAGTGCAACCGTTCCCAAAGACGACGACATTCTTGTCGGTGAGATCGATGTCGTGACGCCAGCGTGAGGCGTGGAATATGGGACCTTTGAACGACCCAACGCCTGGAACGCCGAGGTCTCTAGGTGTGACAAGCTGGCCACTGGCACAGAAGAGAAATTGGGATTCGTGCTTGTAGACGCTGTCCGTCGCGAGGTGTCGGATATGAAGCTGCCATCGACTGCGTTCTTCAATCCACTCACAGCGTTCCACATTGACGCCGAAGCTCATTTTTCTCGGAAGGCTGTACTTGGTGGCGACGCGATTTAGATAGGCCCATAGCTCGTCTGTCGATGGCAACATGCGACTCCATGTCGGATTTGGCTCGAAAGAGAAACTGTAAAGGGCGCTAGGCACGTCACAAGCACAGCCTACATACGAATCATGTTCAGCTCTGAAGACCATGGTCCACTCGGAAGAAAGCAAATTCCAACACGAGGGTATTACCTGGGTATTTATTGACGAACCAAGTTCCTCCTAGCTGCTTGTGCTTTTCGAAGAAGCAAATATCAGTTATTCCGTACCATCTCTTCAAGGTTGCACCCAGGGCAATGGCTGAGAATCCGGTTCCAATGCAGGCAAACTGGCTGTAGCTGGGTTCCTGGTCCGTCTCGTTTACTTGTGCCATCTTAAGCTGAGACAGCAGATGTTGGCTCGATTGTCAGAGATTCGAGGTGTATGCATAGAATACAATTAAATGACAAACATCGCGTACCAAGTCAGCGAGGTGGGAGGATTGACTATCTAGTTTATTTGTTAATGCGCTTATAGGCAGGTACAATAAATATGTGAGCGGATTGGGACCGGATTGGGACCGAAATGTAAGTCGGATTCATCCCGGGGCAGCTGGGCAATATCGGCCCGTGGGCACATATACAGGACCCACAGGAACCCCCGACGTCCAGGCAGGGACTTTCCCGAGTTGGAGGGTTGCTCCCGATAGTGTCAGGTCTGCCGAATCAAGTATGGGGTCAATAAGGATATGCTAGGCTCATGTGAACGATTCCGAAGTGATTACGACTCATTTCGGAGGGTTCTTTCGTCTGGACCGGTTCCGCAACCTTGGAAACCTGCCACTTAATATCAAAGCTTTTGCAAGTTCGATATCTGTGGTACGGCAATCTTCCCGCAATTTCAAGTCTACAGCAGTCTATGTGATGATTTAGAAGCCTGCTCATGGAAGCACTGTACATAAGATTTATGACGACATATAGACCACGAAGTACACCAAGCATATACCAGCTTATTCAATTGTATTTTAACCTTGATTCCATTGGTAAGAAAGTCGAGTTTGTATGTAAATAAGTAGGAAGCAAACAGAGAGTCGCCCTACGCCGTCTGAATAAAAGCGAGGACCAACTGAACGAGTGAAGCAGCAGACACCCACTGAGCTACCAGACCGCGTTCGCCTCGAACTAGCCTAGCCATCCTTGGTAGTAGCTTTCTGTCAAAGCTTTGTTTAGTTTTCTGTAGCTCCGGCTTGACCTAGTCTTCCTGTCTTCGGGTCAATTCTCTGACGCCCTTTGAAATCCACACCTAGATTATTCGACCCATTCCTAATAATACGGAAGAACCAATCCGGACCGCCTTTCTGCGCAAACACATCAGCGACACTGTGTAAAAGAGCTGAAGACCAGGGGACATTACCAAAATTGCAACATAGCGCATGATTCCCGGCAGGTAAATGGTCCTTCCAAGGCCGCTGTACAGCGTATCCACGATGCTGTCGGCCACGGTTTCAACGTGCATAAGCGGAAACAAAAAGTTTGACTGGTGTGTTTCTCCCTTGAAAAGAGGCGTCCGAACAAAGCTTAAGATGGCCAGAGACAGCCGCACCTTTGGTGCTCCGTGCACGTCCTTGAGCTCTAGTTGCAGTGCCTATGTATATTGAAGAACCTAGTTAGCACACGTTGCCATCCTCAAGGGTCTCATTTAGCGGTTTCGAAAATTCACCTCGTGTAATGCAACTAGACCAGCCTTTGTGGCAGCATAGTCAGCAACTCTTGCTGGCGGTATCAGGGCGCTCATCGAGCTGATATTGACAATGTGCCCATGGTTGCGGCTGACCATCTGTGGTATGAACTCCTTGATGAGAAGAAATGGCGCCACAAGATTCGTCCGAATTGTGACCTCAACGTCCATGTAGCTGCCATCCATGACCGTGAATCCACGGCTTAACCCGGCATTGTTCACCAACACCGTGGGATGGCCGACTTCGTCTCGAATTCTCTGAGTTATGGTACTGATGTTGGATGAATTGCTTAGATCGACTTGGTAGTAGTGGACCTTGCTTTTTGCTGGTGCCGCCCACGTCATCGGGACATAGTCGAGGATGACGATTGTCGTTTGGATATTCTTTGCGAGAAGTTGGCGGGCGACGTGCTCACCAATGCCACTGCTTCCGCCAGTGATTACCACAATCTCCGAATTCCAGTCCCAATCCGATGCCCGTACCCAGTTGTTTGCAAAACCATCATTCAGATAATCGTTGAGCGACAGTGTGACACTCAGCGCCGCCAGCAGGTAGGCAACCACGAGTGCCGTACTGGAGGCTTCAGCATGAACGTATTCGAAGAGTCTGGTTCGAGCGGGCTGCCACGACAGTCCTATTGCAATGGGCAGCGCAATGAATGGGCTAAGTAAGCTGTTTCTTAAGGTCCTTGTAATGAGGTCTAGCGTGATGCCTTCCCTGGAGTGTGCCATCTTTCCCGTGTACTAATGTCAATTGCGAAAGAAAGGCACTATGAACAGTCGCACGTGCAAGTGATACTCTGACCTCGTGCATGTTGTAGAAGACATCGGAACAAGTGAATTTAAACTGTCATCATCCCCGCGGGCGAAAACCGGGTACTGTTAGACACTCTATTGTCTCCGGGATCATTCCGACCAATCACAACCCCTCGCATTTGACATGAATTGATACATAGTCCAAGAGTTTGACTACGAACCGAGGCAAATCCATGGCAGAAAACTTTCTGTATAGGTTGCTCAACTGGAATCCAGATCGAAACCCTGCGTTGTTTTACAGGGACTGTTCAGAGACGAGTCTGCTTATACTATAGCCTCGACACGCTTGTCTGTTGAGTATTCATTTCACTACAAGCTAGACGGTTGAAGTTTTACCTGCTAGTAGAGGTCTTCTGCTAGTAGAGGTCTTCTACTCCTTAGTTAGGCGTAGTCTCGGCTCAAAATGGTATGACGCTAGGTGATTTCTATTCTTACGAAGCTACTGACCACAACAGGAGACTTCGGTACGAAAACAGCTGCCCCTTGGCAGCAAAATATCACTGTTGATCTGGATGGTGTTTGTTGGTATGCCGGTGTTCTGACTTCTTGTGCTGCGCTACCGCTGATTTGAACCCTAAGCACCGGTGCAGGTCATATTCAACATCACCCGCTGCGTTGCGATTGCGAGGTCCCGACACCTACCTTTGCGATTTTACTTCACATGTGGTCTGCTTCGAGTCGTGCTCAACAAACTCACAGGGCGTCAGCTTCAATTCCTGCTTCCCGGATCTACTGAGTGCTACCAAAAATGGATCGCGGAAAGCAGGACCGAGTTGGGCAATGGTAGAAACGTGGCGGCTGTGGCAAATCTCAGAGAACGCATCGAAATGCTCCCGGTCAAATCATCTTCCATCATGTGGCTGGGCGACCCTTCCACAGCGGACAAGGTTGTCTTATTCTTCCACGGAGGGGGATACAAAGCACCCATGTCGGCCGGTCACCTAGAATGGTGTCTGCAAGCTTACATCTATGCCGGTCCTACACTGAAGGTTGCGGTTGCCCTGTTACGATACGCTCTTGCTCCGGAAGCGGCATATCCGGTGCAACTGTCGCAGGCAAGCAGCGCACTCTCGCACGTACTACAGGCCGGTTTCAGACCATCGGATATAATTATTGGTGGAGATTCTGCCGGCGGCAATCTAACATTACAATTACTTGGTCACTTGCTGCACTGTCATCCCAAGGTTGAAGGGGTGCAAATTGACGAACCGTTGCTAGGAGTCTTCCTGGTATCACCCTTTTTAAGCGCTCGCACTGATACCGCTTCATTCAGGGAAAACAATTACATCGACATGCTTTCTGCACACTCGGTCTCACTTGCCGTTGCAGATGTATTTGAGGGTACAGACTACGAGACGGAGCTCCTAGATGGGAAAGGCTGGGCTCTCCCGACTGATATAGACGGGCCCTGGTTTGATGGTGTTTCACGGATATGTAGAAATCTGTATGTTACGGTGGGCCAACATGAAGTTTTGAGAGATCATGGCGTTGAATTTGCTGAAAGTATTGCGCTTCGCAACCCAGACCTGGACGTACGTTTGGAGATTGCGGAGAAGGAGGGTCATGATTTTATTTTGCTGGAAGGGAATAGCAAGATTGTTGGAGATGCCACGACACGAATGAGGACATGGCTCAACTCAATTATATCCTAGACACTTTATTATCTGATATGTTAAAGAAATTAGCGGGTTCATGAATTGGTGAGAATGTTATTGCAAACTTCAAGTAGTATATCGCATTAGAGCCCATGGTATTACCATGAATCTGACAGCAGCGGAACTTTCTTTGTGTGGTTTTGGCATACTTGGGGACAGTTCAGTGACTGAAGCTAGTTAATTGCATATATCCAAAAGATACTACATATCTACTGGATCGTGAGGATGATGATCTTCGTGATTGGCCATGATTCCCAGCTACGAGGACTTTCTTCAGGCCTACCATTCAATCTATCCGCGGTGTTCAGGCGCACACATCTGTATCCCGCTTTGGTTGTAGTCGTAAAAAGGTAGATTCACTTCCAGCATTCACAAAATGTCCCGTGCCAACTTTGCATCTTCCAACACTCCAGCCCTGGTAGCTTCATCAATGATAAGTTGCCTGTATGTTTCGTGTCGCAAAGTCACTTTGACAGGAAATGGCTCATCTGTAGACTCCAAATTGAGGAACTTGGGGTTATATGGACCATTCTGGGAGAAAATGTTAGAGACAAGTCTACATCCAAGTTTCTACAGGAGATTCTTACGGGTTGAAAATCAAAACACTGTATCAGCCTGGCGATATTCAAAAACAGGCTTCTCTGTGCTAGTCGGTAGCCGATGCAAATCCGACGGCCACCGCCAAACTGCCAGAGTCCATGGGTAATATCTGTCTCATGTCCATCCATCCAACGTTCGGGAATGAACTCATCAGGGTTCTCGCACTCGTTACCCACCACAACTTCGTTTATGACAAAACCGACGCCGGCTGGAAAATGATAGCCTTCGAAATCAATGTCTTCGGATGAGGTGTGGTCAGGAGTGAGGATAAATATCGGCTTCCACCGGAGAACCTCCTTGGACATGGCGCAAATATATCGCAGGTCATCCATGTCATCCAGAGTAGGATACCTAGAATCGTTGCCAGTCCCGCAGACACGGTCAATTTCGTCTCTTGCTTTCTTGAACCCATGGGGATATTCCAGAGACGCCATAATCATAATATTGAGTGCTTCGCGGGTTGTGTCGCTTCCAGCTTCAATGAGTTGCAGAGCCAGATACATGGCGTCTTCATCGTCACCGGAGTACTTTGTGTCGGGATGTAATAGAACGTCGCGTACGAATGACGGTGGCGCTGTTCCATCTTCTATTTGTTTTCGTACCGGATACCACCATGATTTGTAAACGTTGTTATTCCACTCGGCTAACTGATCCCAATGAGGACGCCAGACTTGAAGGAACCTAGGGAGCCGAGCTAATTCTGGGAACCAGTCGATGATACTGCTTCCGATGCTACCCACAAAATATGTCACAACGTCCTGCAAATCTGACAGCTCCTTAGTAGATTTGACCAGGCGCTCTCCTAACGCAATTCGATGGACCACGGAGTTAGCATAGCGGTAGTTGTGCTTGTACCATCGCTTAGGCTGAAATAGATATTCTGCAAGCATTTGAGCACTTTCTTGTTGTTGCCACTCCCCGTACTGCTTTAGTGCTGTTCCGTTGAGCAGATTATGCATCACTCTGCGAGGTTCTTTCCATTGTTCCTGCGGAAGGAGCAGAGACCGACGATGGTGGCTCACAATGCCGCTGGCGATGGGCATGGGAGAACGTGTATTTGTAGCGTTTCCTCTCTTTGCGATGATTTCTGACACAACTCTTTTGCTATTGAGCAAGATCCAGGTCTTGGAACCGAGATGAAGTGTAGTCATTTCACCAAACTTGGCCAGATCTTTTAGCTACGTACAGTTAGTGTCCATATTGTTCAAAGGAATAGTGTCAAAATTTACCTCTTGACAATCAGGGTCCTCTCTGATGTTCTTGAGAGTAAGGAGATGTCCGAATAATGGAACCCCTGCTGGACCGGCCGGCAGACGTGGTTTGATTCCTCTCTGTCCCTTCCGCTTTCCCACCGGTTTGAAGTATTCGGCCAAACTAAGCCATATTAGGAATAATATCGTTACCAGGCAGGAACTGTAAAAAAGCAGTGGAAATGCATGTTGAAAAGCGTGCAGCTTCTCGAGAACCAGAGACATCATCGTCAACCGTGCTCAACAGGGTGACTAGAATTCAATTGACATTAGTGGTGACAGTTAGAGTTGATTGCATATTTCCTCTAATATTTAAGATTTAGTGGCTCCTGACTCTTGAGTGGACAAGGGCATCATGGAGATCCATGGGCGGGATCTTTCCGGTGGTGGCGTCTACCAACATCCCGCCGCTTGGCCCAAGACTGCACGCCTACTGATGGTCCGTTCCGCTGCGCTCAAACATTCCGTTCGCGTTCTCGCCACTGGTTCAATAAGGTCATCAGGCACGGCCGGAAAGTTTCCGACTGGCATATGAAGGAGGCCAGCTGCGCCGGACTACTCATATAGACTTACCGATTTTCCCCCTTTTCTACCGTCAAGGATCTGTGCGGGAAGATACCTTCACCAGCCACAGACCCATTTTTTTTGGATGGTGATTACACTTGGATAGATAGTGGATAACACATCCCAAAAAAAATCCTACTGCTAGCTGCAGTCCTGTTAATACAAAAGTCCTGCTGTTGGCACAATGGGCCATAGAGCTGTGATATCACACGACATATCCTGCGCACGCTTTGGGTTGATGCAACACGTGGGTCGCTACTAAGACTGTTGAACAAACCAATAGTGGAACTTATCCAGTTCGTGGCCAACGCTGCGAGGTGATTTAACGCATCAGGAGAACACATGTACCAATTCGTCCATACTGTCGAGACAATGACAGCGGAGTTTGACAGTGCTGGGCCTGGGCCTGATGGTGCTTGGTCATATTTTGCCAACGAAGAAGGCAGACTCTCACTGAATAGGAGTGAGGTTGCGGCATTGGGTGATATAGGCGGTTCGTTTTGGGCATCGCGCGACTGGTATATTGTTCATTGCCTATTTTCCTGGCAAAAATACCATCGTATGCGGCGCACCAAGATCATCATGGAGGAACGCTTTGACATTCTGCACCATGTCAAGCACTGCGGTCGGCTAATACGCAATCCAACGCCGGATCACATTTTCCTCATTGAGGTTCTGGTGACCATGAACTCAAGAAAAGATGTCTGACTTAGATATGCTATTCAATAGCTGACGTCTGGGCAAGAGAGCTGAGTTTCGTCTGATCATCGGCGTCATCAGCGGAATGGATACTGTGTTTTTAGATGCTATAAGATAGTCTGTGAGGACATACATTGTATAATACACAGTTACAAAAGATTCGAAATCTGCAGCCACACCAAAGAGCATGCATCTACGTGTTGTTGCAAAGCCTACCCGGCATTGCCCAATACACTCAAGCGAGAATTGACCATGACTAGGCTACTCCAGCAATGCGAGCATGATACAAGCGCTTTCTAGCTCCAGGCGAGGTATCTAGTCTCCGCCAGGTTACGGATCTAGTGCGGCGCCAAGGGATGGGCGGAAGGATCGAGACCAAGGCAAAGCACCAAAGTTTGTGTGGCTCGTATACCACAGCTAGGCACCAACTCGCTTGTGCTCCCTGCTATTGCGTGCTCACAACGCGCATAGCAATTGGACTACAAAACTTAATAGTGGGTTCGACTGGCCGATAATGAGCATCATTTGTTGGACTAGAAACGCAGGTCTTACCTGATAAGGAAATCACCGTGCCATGTCACAGCGACGATTGCCCGTATTGGCAACTTTCGTCACCATCAACAATGGTTAAGAGAAGGAATGACAAGATTACAATTGAATGATTTGGGCAAATTGAAAATGCAGTCAGCAATATATTGAAGCTGAAGGAATTGCAGTAGGGGGGGTTGTAGGGGCGTTTGCATGGAATCCATTGCTGCACCCAATACTTGTCCCTGCCGAAAGCGTCATTCAGGTGCGAGCCAACAGATAAATGCCATGAAAAAGTGTGGCAAGATAGCCATTCTGAATAGTAGAATAGGCACTGTACGTAGGACAGGATATAGGATATACCGGCGACTGCGCTGTCTCCAGGGCTCGAGCAGTTGAGAATGGTAAACAATCCCACGTTTCAGTATACAAGCTTTTTATTCCCGTCTGCTTCTCTAGCCTTGCCACTATGCCGTCATTTGAGGCAAACGTCGGTCGTGTTACTAGCTCTGCGGAGGAGCTAATGTCATACCTATTCTACCAGACCCATCTTGAAAATCACTTAGCTGGTTTTGAGTACAGACAGCGGATGTTGGAGCATTGGAAGATACCTTCTGGATCTAGTGTACTTGAAATCGGGTGTGGTCAGGGAGAATTCACCGTCTGCCTTGCTGACGCGGTTGGGCGAGTAGTTGCTGTTGACCCAGCGCCTGCTGGTTGGGGTATAACTCCTCACTCACGATCATTTCAGATCAATTTGCATGCTGACGGGTCCTCTGCTCGTTATAGGAACGCCTTGCGTGATCGAATCTCAGAAATACCTTGCAGCTTCCCCCATTGGCAGTCGCATCACATTCATCAACGATACTGCTCCAAACTATGTATTATCCCTCAGACAAGGCACGCCACGGTTCGACTATGTCCTATTGTGTCATTGTGTGTGGTTCCTTGAGAAGCCACACTTGCTTCAAGAGCTAATGGAGACGCTACAACCATGGACACGATCGGTTCTCATTGCTGAATTTAGCTTCTCAACGTCGATGCCTGCGGCGTTTCCGCATGTACTCGCAGCGCAATATAACAACACTGTAGAAGCATTATTGAGTGATCGTGAAGAATGGAATATACGTTCGCCACTGACGCCAAGTCAAATGACACAGGCCGGCGAGAGGGCAGGGTTCAGACTGGCCTCTCACAAGACCATCACGCCAGGCGAAAAGAACCGAGAAGGCTCACGGGAGGTCCGAATGTTGCTGAAGGCCAAAGAATTCGAGAATGAGCGACAGCTTGTAGAGCAGCGTCATGGTCCGCGCATCGCACTCATGTTGAATGGTCTAAAGGATGCTGTTGCCGCGAGCGTCCAACGGCTCGGTGGTGGCGGCATTGAAGCTGTCAGAGACATGGATGTCTGGCTCGCAAAGTTCGACGTAACAAGTAACGCTCTTTGATGGAGGGTGATTGCTGACAATTTACTGTAAAGTGCGAACCAACGTAACGGGATGGAGTAATAGTTGTTCGTAAGAAAGCTGAATTTTAGGTTTGCATAAGGTGTTCAATACGAGCCAATTGTCTACTTGTCTACCTAGGTACCTACCTAATATATTACCTAGGTAGTATTGATTGGTGATGGGCGGCAGTTGCTGCACCGTGTCGACAGAATGGTCAAGCCTGGGCTGATTGTACTGCAGCCATTGAACATACTGCACCCAACAAACCGCTGCAATCCCAGCAGTGACCCGCAGTTAGCACCGATTGACCTGCTGCTCTCGTCCCGTAGTGTCACGTCTGTGCATTTCTACTCCGTAACTTCTTCACTCATTGTGTTCTGTGTGTGATATTAGACTACCGCTAGCCGGTCGGTAACCCAATGCCTTCAGCTAACTCATCAATGGAAGAAAGAGAGGCAAACGAATCAACATGCCTGTTGCGTTCCCAAGATGGCCATGATTCAGCGCCCCAACCCGAATCCTCGATCGCCCCGAGTGCACGCCGCACAATCCTCGTCGTGGCCGCAATTCAAATCGTTTTGAATATTGGAAGTTATGTCAGCTTCGCGGCCCAACTAGCCATATTGCAGGGCATCGTCTGCAAAGGTTACTATGAACAAGGGCCACCTCTATCCGGGGATGATGATCGATGCAAGGTGGACGCTGTACAGAGCGAAGTCGCCTTCATTAACGGTTGGAAAGATGTGTTTGAGATGCTGCCAGGTACGTTTTGTGGCTGAAATAAAGGAAGCATCCAGAAGCCAGCGAGCGACGGCGCTGACTGAGATGTCAGCCATTATTCTGGCTGTTCCATATGGGGCTTTGGCAGACCGCATTGGTCGCAAAAAGATATTTCTTCTCGCCATTGTCGGCATAGGTATGAATGACCTGTGGATGCGAATGATCTGTAAGTAACTACCTGCAAATGTGCTCTGCTCTATTAAGATACTACCTACCTCTCAAACGCAGCCTACTGAAATGTATTATTAGTTTGGTTTTCCAACGTGTTCCCGGTTCGAGCGGTTTGGTTCGGCGGCTTGTGGCAAATGATAGGAGCCGGCGCTGCATCTCTATCATCGATTTCGCATGTAATGCTTGCCGATGTTTGCCCAAGCGACCAAAGGTATGACAGAATTCAATTCTTTAGCTCTTCAGCTCCAGGGCGACACTGACTATTCCTTCTTGCTGCAAATAGAACAACGGCCTTCTCGCAGCTTCAATCGGCCATTATGATTGCTCAATTTATCTTTGTTCCTATAGGAGGCACAATGGTATCCATCAACCCTTGGATTCCTATGCTCATCTCTTCCGGGGTGACTGCTCTGGGTTTCCTTGGAGCGCTGATCTTTCTACCAGAGACACTGCCACCAGCAGAGTGTGACGCCGGTATTACTAGTGTCACTAACAACCACCATGACAATCAGCCAACATCTACGGGCGCTAAGTATGGCTTTCACATTCGTTGGACGAACTTGGTGGCCAGCTCTGCCGCGAAAATGACATGGGCCAGGCAAAACGCACGGCTAGTTGTCGTGCTTGTATGCTTCTTCTCATGCAGCATCGGACAACAAGCAAGTGGGTCTCTCCTTTTGCAGTACGCATCGAAGCGTTTGAATTGGTCTTTGGGCAAGGTACGTATATCATTAGCAGTCACCGTGACCAGCGCACATTAATCTGACCACGAACGTATAAGGCTTCGTATCTCGTGTCCCTTGGCGCAGGAATCAACTTGATTGTACACGCCATCGGCATTCCTGGTCTATCTACTCTCCTGTTGTGGCATCTCAAGCTGCACGAAATAGCTAAGGACAAACGCATTGCCCAAATCAGTGGCTTTTTCCTCGTTCTTGGGACAAGTATCATCTTCGCTGCAGGATCTTGGACTATGCTTGTTCTTGGTCAAGTACTATATAGTATGGGACTGGCGTTCAGTGTCCCCGCGCGAAGTATAGTAACAAGCATGGTCGAGAAGAGGCATCTCGCAGCACTTTATACGACAATCTCGGTCCTGCGATATAGTGGGATGCTCACTGGTGGGCCATTGTTTGCTGGCGCGTTTAGCTGGGGACTCCGTCAAGGCGGGCTGTGGATCGGGATGCCATATTTATTAGCTTGCGGCTGTTTTGCATTAGCATTACTGACAGTTTCGACGGCGCCCACGGCGGGTAAAGTGCCACGTGCGGTAGGGGGTGAAGATGGAGACGACATGGATTCAAGGGACCCCTAGTCATGACAAGCGCAGATGTTAACAGCTGTGTAGATGCAGATTGCGTGATAAACATGCCTTCTTGAACAGTAGATCGCCAATGAGTCTCATGAATATCAACATTGCATCACCATTTCTCCGGGCCAAATTTCTCTCCAATATGCAAAACAACTTGCACAGCTGTGGGTCTAGAATCCATCGTGGTATGCGGTACGGTGTTTCCCCACCACTTTGGCGCATGGACTCCAGCCAGGTTGAGCGCAAATATAACAGTTGTGGACATGGCCAGTCCCAAGTCAAGCCCAGAAGACGTCAGGTAGTTCAGTCGACTCCACCAACTTAAGTGATGCGTTTTGACTATAGATCCTGGAAGACGAATCCCACAATGCCCCACTACCGGTTCATGGTCAGAATAGCATGGTGAATAAGGATGCGTGGCTCTTAAGGAGAGATAGTTCAACGGCGTTGCTGGCGGGATAGATCCCGCGCCTCCAAGAACAAGAGGGACAATTATGTCCTTTGCCGGTGAATATCTTCGACTAGCGAGGTGAACGGCGATTGTGACGATGGCACCGAGGATGGAAAAAAGGAGCATCCCGAGTAGATTTGTCCTGGTGAAAACAAGCGGGCCGGCCCAATGAGGCCTCATACGACAGATGCTTGAATGCCCACTTGTTAGTGCTAGCCCGCAGGATGGTTCTGGTGGATGATTCATTCGGAAAGGCGCACACGAACATGAGAAGAAGACCCGTCCACCAGGACAAGTGAAGTGCGAGGGCTGTTGGGCGTTACATATGCCATCGACGTTGTGAATAGCCATGTTCAGTACTAAAATTTGGACTAGGCAGGAAACGAGCGTTGCTGAAAGCTGGCAGACGAATGTAATCCTTGGTGGCAATTTCATGTAATGCCCAAACTTCAAATCCGCTACGAAATCCAATGCTTGCGATATGGTCACATATCCAAAGTTCTTGAAGCTAGGCAGTAATACATCAGCCCAATGACGACGAATACAGCTAGAACTTCCGTATTGTAAATCCTCCCCATCGAAGTTTGGCGCAGCGGCTCGCACTTCAGGATACGGCGAATCTTCGACCTCGCATTCATCTTCCTTATCAGATAATAATTCATCAGAAGCCGACACGTCATCAGCTAGAAGATGATGGTTTGGTCCATTCGAGATATCTGGACCGCCATGGGTGTCATTATCCCAAGAAGGGTGTTTTGTTGAAAGCGGCAGATGCTCCTCGTCCGTGGTGTCAGTCTTAGACCGCATAATAACTGACAAGACAGCTCCTCTGCTGACATAACAAACTCTACATAGACACGGTGACTGGAAACGAGGAAAAGGAAGAGCAATTATAAACGACTTTGTAATATAATGCGGCTGTGTCAACACTTGGGCCTGCAGGATTTTAGGTCACCTACTGTCACAGTTCTTCCCAGCCCCTTTGCGGCTTATCAGTGGCCCTGGCAACATCCAATGCCCTGGCGACTGGTATCGTCGGGCGACCCCTCAACTGCGTGTGCTCGCTGTAGATCCACCCCTCCCTCCAGTTAAGTCCCCCCGCGGCGCTCAAGTCACCCCCCGAGCTGATGTAAACTTGTTGGTTGCTTGATCGCACCATCCTATCAGAAAGTGAGCAATGCATCCCTACCATTCAACAATCTCATTCGTCGTCCAGCATTCGCCGCAGATAGCCAAGGAAAGCGGTGCTCTTCACGCGTGGCCAAGGTCCGATTCGTAAGGGTCCAAAGGTTCCACGCATGGTATGCAGGGCATCCCCCTCAGAAACTCTTTCCGAAATTTTGATTCTTATCGACGCATAGAACCAGGCGACACGAAACAGTGAGCAACAGCGGCTGTGAATATTCTGCCTGCTAATATATCGTTTCTTCTCTACTAGGTGCTCCTTTACTGTATGCTCGTGCCATCATAACGAGGTACATCGATACCTAGGGAGAGTCGTTCTGACAGAGTCAGATCGCCTTGGTTGCGGAAATATCTCAGTGACCAGAACGCCCAAAATAAATTCGTGCAAGTAAGGCGAGACAGTATTTGCGACGATGCAATGCCTCGCTGGCAGCGATAACAGCTTCGGCCCAAGAGTCAATGTCGCGTGCCGACCCTTCGACTTCACGCTGCTGTTTGAGGATGCATTCTTCATTGCTCTACCTGCTGCGGCCATGGTGTTGATACTCCCCCTTCAACTTCGTATGCTGTGGAGGATGCCGATTGTGACGGCTTCGTATCGACTCGCAGCGTACAAATCAGCCGTCTTGATGGCCCTCATCGTTTTCCATCTGGTTGCTCTCGCATTGCGTGTCCAATCTAGCGTTCTGCACACTCGAATGGCCATTGCTGCAGAGGTGCTTTCTGTTTCGTCAAACTTCGGGGTATTAGTTCTTTCATTTCTTGTCGATCAGCGATCTGTTAAACCATCAGACGTATTGGTGCTCTACTACTCAGCATCTGCTATACTTGGTATCCCCCGACTGCGCACACTCTGGTTATTCTCTTCAGACTATTTGATACAGCAGGCCATATCGACCGTTTTGCTTATCCTTACTGCCAGCGTTGCCGCTATTGAATGCTGTGGGAAAACAAAGTACTTGCGGCCCGCAATCAAGAATGAGCTTACCTCTGAGCAAATGACGAGCTTTTGGAGCCGCAGCTTCTTTGTTTGGCTACTTCCTTTGTTTCGAAAGGGATATAGCAATGTGTTTCTTGTAGATGACTTACCTGACATTGACAAGGATATGAAGGAATCGGCAACTTGGACTGCATTGGAGGAGGCCTGGCGTCGCACCGAGGGACGTCGGCTTGGATTCCGCCTCGTACGAGCGACCTTTAGAGCCAATAGCTGGTCATTCATTTCGGCGATTATACCACGGTTGATGCTGTCCGCTTTCACATTTTGCCAACCCTTTCTTATTCAAGCGGCGGTATCTCATTTGAGTGGTACATCAAACGAGGACGACCATGAGCGATTCGGACAGGCCTTAGTAGGAGCATTCGCGTTGGTCTACTTGGGCATTGCAGTAAGTCAGCTTCCAGCACATGCAGTTTTGCGCCTTTGTTTCAGAAAACTGTGACAGACATGACCACTAATAATTTGTGTTCCCAGATATCGAGGGCAGTATACTGGCGCCAGACTTATCGTATGCTCGCAAAAGTACGAGCCGGTCTGACAACAAAGATATACCGCCAAACAGTGTCACTTCAATCTCGAGATGTGGAAGATTCAGCGGCACTTACTCTAATGGGCACTGATGTGGAGAGAATTGTAGAGTCATTGAGATTCTTTCACGAAACATGGGCAGCAATTCCGGAGGCCGCCATTGGTGTTTGGCTTCTTACCCGCCAGGTTCTTTACGCCTCAATCGCACCAATTGTGATCTGCGTGAGTAGGTGAACACCGTTGGCTACTAGCACTCACATTGATGGACCATCATATACTAACTTAGTGTTAGTAAGTCTAGTTGGAACGTCGCTCGTTGCAAAGCACTTTGGACCGGCCCAGAAGCGCTGGGTGGATTGCGTTGAGAAGAGGGTAGGCGCAACGTCCAACATGCTAAGCAGTATAAAACCAGCCAAAATGCTTGGCCTCATGAATCACTGGAGTCAAGCAATTGAGAAGCTGCGAGCCATCGAAATCGATGTGTCGGGAAAGTTTCGGATACTGCGTGTCTGGGCCATCATCATCGGTCAGTTACCCCAGCCGGGCTACATTGACCACGGCTCAAAGACTAACCCCCGTGGACTGCAGGAAATGTTCCTGGGTCGCTGGCGCCTTTCGTTACGCTAGCCATCTACTCACTTATCGCGCTTAGCAGCGGTGATCAATCGCTTCTAGTCACTCAGGCCTTCACATCTCTTGCCCTCATCAATCTAGTGACAGAACCGCTGCTCATGTTCTGCCAGGCTTTGCCATCTCTCACGCAGGCTGTATCTTGCTTCTCACGCATTGAGAAATTCTTAGAGATCGAATCGCCTCCCTGGCACTGGGAATCCCACAGCCTTCTCGAGGAAGACGCGTCAGCTATGCCTTTGCATTCTCGTGCTGGACGCTCCAGCTCTCTACCTCTGGTGACATTCCAATCTGCAGACATCTCTTGGTTCCCGAAGAATCATCAGGGAAAAGTTATTCTACGTAACCTCAACTTCAGCATTCCAGCTGGCTTTACAGCCATTGTCGGGCCAGTTGGGTCAGGGAAATCCTCGCTGCTAGCTAGCATCATCGGAGAAACGACCATAATTTCCGGGGAAATGCAGTCCCACATCACTTCCCGGGTGGCATTTTGCTCCCAAAAACCGTGGTTGACGAATGACACCATCAAAAGGAGCATTATTGGCGAACTAGAATTCGATCAAGCGTGGTTCAACTACGTTGTTCAATGTTGCGCGCTTCGTGAAGACCTGAACAACTTACCTGATGGTGTCATGACTATTGTAGGCGAGAATGGCTCGTCTCTCAGCGGAGGTCAGCGCCAGCGAGTGGTATGCCAGGCCACAGAATCTTCCAATTTTGACTGTTGTGTACCTGACTCCGTTTTCTAGGCGCTCGCTCGTGCCGTTTATTCAAAACTACCTGCTGTTGTCTTGGATGATTTTATTAGCGGCTTAGACCCAGAGGCGGCCCAAACGGTACAGACCAGCTTATTCCACACGAATGGGCACTTTCGCAGAGCAGGTATCTCAGTGGTTCTCGCTACCAATGGTTGTAAGTTCCTCTGTGTCCTGATTTGTCACCGTGCCATGCAATCCGTATATACTGACATTTATGCAGCGAGTTTACTTCCTTACATGGACAGTATAATTCTTCTTGAAGAAGGATCTATTTCAAACACTGGATCTTACGAACATTTCAAGACGCGAAGACCTGATATGTTCAAATGGGATGGGCATAAAACTGACTTCAATGCTGATCAAGTGAACGAAGAGATTTCGGCTAGACCTGAGGTGGAATCACAGGGCTCCAACTCTACCGCACCAAGGCGACAGGGCCTAATCAGCAGCTCTAACAGAGATGAATTTAGTAGACAAAAAGGAAGCTGGAGCGTTTACGCGTATTATGGGGAAAAGGCAGGCAAGCTCTCTTTGCTCGTATGGGCGCTGTCTACTCTTATTGGTGCCATCTCCAACTCCTATTCCAGTAAGTCCATGCTTTCAGTGCGCATTAGTGATGATCCAACCGCTAAGTAAACTACAGCATTGTGGGTTGACCGATGGACTTCGGCGAGTGCAGAACAAGGAAACCAACAGCTCGGACTATACCTTGGGATTTACTTCTTATTGGTGGCTCTTGCCATCATAGGAGTTTTCTTTGAATGCTGGTCAGTTGCACCGAACGTAATGAAACGGTTTTATTGTTTTCCTCTCGCACATAATGTCTGACTTCCTATGCCCTAGGGCTTTTTTCCTTTATATAGTCAGAGACACTGCGATTAAACTTCATACGGATCTGCTGCACGCAGTTGTCAGGTAAAATGGCGATCATGCAACTACACTGCCACGCAATTCACCCACTAATATTACTGTGAACCACTTTTCAGTGCACCGTTTTACTTCTTCCTCGAGTCAGATCTTGGGTCAATAACGAATAGGTACAACTTACCAGAATCCTGCCTGAAAAATGCACGAGCTTCGATTAACACCTTGCCACCACAGATTTAGCCAAGATATGAACCTCATCGATATGACCTTACCGTCCCAAGCTATTCAATTTACATCCGGTATGAATGTTTCCTTATTTCTAGTCCATAGAATATGGGTACTCACTAAACTTTCTTATTTTCAGGATTTTCTTGGTGCCTGGTACAATTCGTTGTCTTGTGCGTTTTGGGGAAATACCTTGCAGCTGTAGTTCCAGTCCTTGGTGGAGTTTTGTTTGTCGTCCAGCGTTACTACCTGCGAACGTCCAGACAACTTCGAATGTTGGAAATCGAGGCGAAAACCCCGCTGTACTCACACTTCACAGACACCATCAGTGGCATTGCAACTATCCGGGCGTTCGGTTGGGAGATACCCTTCAGCGATCGTCTGGCAGGCATATTAAACCGATCCCAACGGCCATTTTATATGCTTTTCTGTGTGCAACAATGGCTTACACTAGTAGTAGATCTTGTTGCAGGGGCTTTGGCAGTCACCCTTGTCGCGATCGCGTTGTCTCTGACCGACAACAGTCTCGGACCTGGTGCGCTGGGAGTCGCATTAGTTATGACACTTCAGTTCAACGGCCTACTAATCCAGACAATCCAGTCTTGGACAAAGCTGGAAACATCGATTGGAGCGGTGGCAAGAGTACAGCAGTTTGTGAAGGAGGTTCCATCAGACTTGGGTAGATTACCAGCGCCTTCAAATTCGTGGCCTCAAAGCGGCAGGGTGCAAGTACAACGCCTCACAGCGGCACACTCGTAAGTGTCTCACAAGTCAGACTTTGCATCAAGCATTACAGTGCAAATAGGGAGTACATCTTCTGATACAATAATGTTAGACTGGGGTCCGAAGACGTACTGAAAGATGTCAATCTCGATATTTCCGCCGGCGAAAAAATAGCAGTTTGTGGACCATCTGGCAGTGGGAAAACGTCGTTGATCATGGCCATGATGCAGATGATGGATGTTCGGAGCGGGCGAGTCGTGATAGATGATACAGATGTAGCCACATTGGACGGTGAGAGCATGCGTAGCCATCTCAACGTGGTGCCACAAGAACCCTTCTTTATGCCTGGAAGTCTTAGATTCAACTTGGATCCCAGGGGCGTAGCCTCCGACGCATCAATTGAAGTGATGCTGCGACGCGTTAGCGCTGGCCTTTGGGACAAGCTGGCGACGGGCTCGCACGGGAGCCTTCATGAAGAATTCAGGTCATCCCAGTGGTCTCATGGAGAGCAGCAGCTGTTCTGTCTGACGAGGGCCTTGCTGATCCCTAGCAAGGTCATCATCTTTGACGAAGCAATGAGCAGGTATGGTCTAATTGATGTCCCGCCATCTCAATATTTCAAAAATCAGTTAACCTGTATGGAAAATCTAGCGTCGACGAGAAGACAGAATCTCTCATGCAGCACATTGTTGAGGCCGAGTTCAAGGATCGGACAGTCATATCCATCATTCACCGGTACTCGCATATCGATTGGTTTGACCGTATTGCGGTTTTGCGAAAGGGAAGAATAGTAGAATGTGACAGTGCACAGGCATTACTGAGCAGATCCGGGTCGGCTTTTAGAGCGCTCTACGTCGCTGGCGCTAAATATTCTTGAACTCTATTGGTTCACATTAGTCAGTCTCTGCCATATTGCGCCAATTGTAAATACCCTTTGTTGGTTTCTTATGTTTGTTATTTATTAATTGTAACTATCGGTTTGAGTGGCCTCTAGTGTGGGAGATGCCTGACAAATTAACTGTGCAACCACTTGCCTAGGCGGTAAATACCATGTTGGTGATAGATTGCAAACCGTAGCAAGTTGATTGTAGTGAATAATTGTTGAACCAACTAGGAATTGTAGCACTGTTTATAAAAGGAAAGAAAATTTAGGGGGCTTAATAAAACATCATCAGGCCAAAGCCCTGGCCTCGTAGCCTTACTAATGACAAAATTTTCTGATATCCCATTCGAGTTACGCTCGCAAATCTAGATGTTGACCATCGACCCGCGTACCGTCGAGCTTCGCTTCAAGCTCGGCAGGGTCCCATTTGGCAAGAAGCGCCGCAGCACACGCAAAGGTGCTTTATTTGCGACCTCGCCCACGCCGGTACCAGCTGCGCTGTATATCTGTCACGAGCACCATAGTCTCATCATACGACAGAACGGGAGAGCCTTTGTGCATGGCACTTAGCCTCGCTATGTCTGAGTCAACCTCGGCATGGACATAATCTCCATCGGCAGATCCAGTCTGAACCGGACCAGAAGCGCCACGCATTCGTCGGCTTAAGCTTACACACGACTGTGACGAACACTTTTTCTATCAAGAGAATCTAGAGCTGGTCTTGTATTCTAATGTGCAAGAGATCTACGTTGCTTGTCTCAATTACCCAGAGGCTTGGTATAACCCTGACGTCTTGTACTGGCCGTGTCCAGGAGAGAATGTGTGGCTCATTGATACAGAGACGGATAGTATGATAACTGCGGTTGAGAATCAAAGGAAAGTTGAGGAATATTACGAGGAAAGATAGCGTCAAGAAGCCGAAGAGGAGGTACAGGAAAGATTAGAATTAGCTTGTGCTGAGAATACGTTCTAAAAAAGATATCAAATTTGTTTTTAAAAAAGAACCCCTGCTATGATTATGAACGTCGAAGGTGATATATTGTCATTCCCACCCTTTGATGCAGAAATATGACTTGCCGACATGCGGCCTGATGACGGCCTATGATCTTGTAGCTCCTAACGGCATACTGATGCGTCTTTGCGCTTAGATAGGCAGGATTGGTATAACGATTTGTGTTTAAGATTCGGCTTAGGCTCTACTAGTTCGCTACACTTTGTTCTTTGCCGGGAATTGTCGACAGTTGCCTAGTCGACGGTTTGCCACACTTTGCTTGTTGAGGATATGGGATTGGGACCCAATTTCCGCACTATGATTTGCATCTTCCCTCCAAGTTGTTTCCGCGCTTCAAGAAATAAACACTTCCCGGAATCGCCAGTACCTCTTGCAGTTCTGACCTTGCCAATGGTGTCATCATGCGCATTGAATATTGGCTTCTTGGTGATTTGCTCGGCGCTGCCTGAATTCTTCCACACGTTGTCGACTGTTGCGCCCAGCCTCACAATTTAGTCGTTGTAGTTCACGTTACCGTCCTTCAGGACCTTATAGTGTCTAATGTCATTCAATTTCCTGAGCCTTGGATTGAGACTGCTGAAATGTGTGTTGTGGCAGTTCACGTCATTCCCAGTATCATCCAGGCTGACACATTTGTATACGGCCCAAGCGTTGGATGGGGCGAAGCTTTATCCAGCGGAGTCATGAGCTCTGCGAAGGTGCACTTGTGTCCTGCTGCACTTCCCATACATGCCTGCCAGCGGTTGCCATTGAATATGTAGTTTATTGCCTTTGTTCCAGCTGGCGCATATGAAACAGACAGTGTGATCTGCAGGCGGCTTTAGCGCGTTGATTTTGTAGGCCTAGAAAAGCGCTACCCGCTCCAAGCATCCTGCGAGACCTCCATCCCAGATGATTGCGTCGAGATGGGCAAGAGTGAGAAAGATAGAGGTCTATATTGCAACTATAGTAACAACCAGTATACTAGTCGCTGATAGCAGCGCGGCTAACAAGCTGAGGAGAACGAAGGGTAAATGAGGGCGATTGTACTGGAGTGCTTGAGCAGAGCATATAAAGATGATCTTAGAAATAATAATAATGACATTATTCATTGCTTCTAACTTTATATTTTGTCTTCCACAAGTCCAGTCACGTCGATCTGCCCATGAACATTGGATTATGATCCGAAAACACGGTGGGCTGTTGGCAAGGTAGGAATTTGTAGTTTCCGAGGAGCCCGGCCGCTGCCTTTAGGCCCCTGAAAAGACAATGTTTGAGGTACAACGCGCCTGTTTGTAGCTTGATAGATGGGCTTAATGAGGACCTCAACAATAACCCAGCCCATAGACTATCACTCACAACATAGTTCAGCTTTGTTTGTTTAATCCGACGGCTTGCTTTGAATCTTTCTGGAAACAAATGATTAACGTGTTTCAGTCTGTCTCTACCATCATTCATTCAGCTATCCCATTTTATTCTCTTTCTTTACATTCATCCACTCCGTATCAATTTCATAGTCCTTCTCATGACTTCGAGGAGCTCTTAATATCATTCCCAAAAGCCCCTCTGCGCGGCTTGACCTTCACAATGAGACCACCACAATTCCCGTTTCTTATACCCTTAGCCCCTTTGGCTAAACCCTCCTTCCATGCCCAATCGGATGCCAGTCTTGAAATTGTACCCCGAGCGGACGCATCAAGGGTAATGGATGCCCAGGGCGATGTCATGTACCGAGGATGAGAACAGCAGCGCCGGCGCAGGGTGGTTCTTGTTTCTTGATACTGCACGCCTTGAGTAGTGCAATGAGACCATGCTATTCGACTTTGTTGTTAAAACTTTTATTGAAAACAACTATGTTCGCAAGACGGGTATCAGAGCTTTCATAGCTTACTATAGGGTAGCAACTTTATAAGCCTGTACGTTCGACGATAAAACCAGAGCTCGCTGTCCAACAACAAACGATGTCATGGTCAAATCTGCCGTCCACAAGTCCCATCCTACCGCAAAAGAAGGGCAACTGGATTTTTCAGTAACGATTTCTTGTACTACCTATACATCATCAACTCAAATCAATATTGGCAATTATGACTTGGTCGCTTCAGCCGACGCAGTGGAAGGGCGTTGTTGGATGTTCGCAACGACACCTTCAGACGTGACCGACGGCCAGTACCCTGATTACGCCGGCGTGCGCTTATATCTCTTGAATATGTACTCCGCACTTGATATCCAGATTCCAATATACTAGCATGTATTTACTCGGTATTGTTCACTATTCACAATGGCAATTAGAGGTTGATTACGCTGAACCCATGATAACGCCCACCAGTTCCATAGCCGAGGTTATTAGAATTAGAGTGTGTCGATCGAAACTGTCGGTGCAAATCGTTTCCAAGCCGTCTGAATCTACTTCTATGAGAAGTTAAACCCCGACGAATCCTACCCCGTCCTCTTCTGTATCATTCCCAGTTTCTTTTACATATACAATGACCTAGACAACATAATTGTTACTTAGCAAGAGTTTCCAAATAAAATATTAATAAAATCGGTTTTTTGAAATACCCAGGATTCAGAGATAAACACATTCATTATATTTTACCTAGCTACAAGACTGTAGCTAGCTAAATGTTAGGTACTCTGAAAACCCCTTGACGTTATAACCATTCTCTCTAAATACCAAAACATCTAATAGCTCTATACTAACCATAAAACACCAACTTGTTACTAACGCTTATTGTGCTTCTTGTTTGCTACCGGCGACAGCTTGGTCACGATAATCTTTCAATACCGACGAAGGCTCTCCCGTGTAGCCAACCTTTAACATCCATTCCTTTACCGATTTCACTCTGGAAGGCAAAATTTCATCCAACAGCGCATAGTCCCTCTTGGTCAGCTCATCTTTCCAGGTATTCCAGAAGCCCGAAAAGTTCTCCCGGAACGTAAACAGGGTGGGATCATTGCGATCAGCGGAATGGCCAATTTTCGCATCTGGTTGGGGGAAGATTCCTAAGTTGAAGTATTCGTCCAAAGTGACATCTTTGTAAATTGCCTTTCTGCCGGTGACTTCTGTATATGCCGTAGCGACATCCTTCCATGCGATATCTTCGGTAGCCACATGTAATTCAAGGCCATTGCTACGGTCCGTGGTGTCAAAAAGCCACCGGGCGTAAGATCCATAGTCTTCAAGATATATAAGTGGCATTCTCGCGTTTCCAATAGGCAGAACAAAGACCATGGTATCAGGGTCAATGGGGTTGGGGAAAGGTCGAAGAATTTCGGATAGGCCTTCGATATAGAGGCAAGAGGTCAGGATAGACCATGCCATTGGCTCAGTTGGTTGAGATTTAATATAATCGACAACCTTTCCCTTTCCGTCCAGATGGCCGGTTCTATATTTGGGGTTGAAGTTCCCGAGCCTAGAGGCATATTCGAGGCCGGCATAGACGAAATGCTTCAGGCCGAACTGTCGAGATAGTTCATAAAGGCGGATACCCCAATAGATCTCGGCCTTTTCGCCAATAGCAAAACCATTCGTATTGGCGAATAGATATGAGACGCCATCGAAAGCCTTAAGGAGAGTGGGCTCATAGTAGCTATCCCCTTCAAAAATCGTGACCCCCGGGATTGTGGCGAGTTCTTTTGCTTCTTGAGAAGAAGCGGTCCTGGTAAGGACACGGACGGCATATTTACCATCGGACGCAAGTGCTTTGAACAAGTATTAGCAATTGAAATTTTTAAACAAACTTTGAGTATACCTTTGACGACAGGAACTCCCTGGGCACCAGTGCCGCCGATAACGAGGATTGTTTCAGGCATTTTGTAGATATAGAGCAAGTTTTATGAATTGAGCTTGAATATTTCTTGGAAGTAGAGTAATTGTTGAAGAATGAATTGATGAGGATAGTATCTAGTATCTGGTCTCTGGATATCTGGATGATTTATATAGACATTTGTACAACTAGCATCTAACGAATTAGTCAGGCCACTTAGCTTTAGGTTCAGCCATTATTGAATTGTTGTTGCCAGCCACGGGTAAGTTACGTCACAAATGCGCGGGCAAATTTCTCTAATAACCCTTCGCCGTTGATCCAGAACTGTGAACTGTTGTATTTGCCAAGCCTGCCGCTGACATATTGCTTCCAGTACTTGAGTGGTTAGTCATTTATTGCATCATATATACGGAGTAGTCAGTTCGAATTAAACTAATCAACCGGGCGCTGCCCTCAAGGATGAATAACTAATCATCCTAGCTTAGCGTGCACTAGCATTGTATAACTAATCACGGAATATCACTAATCACTAATTATTATACTAAGTCCACAGGATGCATATGCATTGAAATGTTTCAATCGGAACATACAAAGTCCCTTTTACAAAAACACGTAGTGTTTGCTTTATAATTATGATACTGAATGACTCGATGGATGACACTCAATGGCAAAAAGTATTAGACAAATTGATAAATCTATAGGAAGAGTTATCGCTATGCTGCTGCTCGCCCTAGTACGGTTGTTCGCAAAAACCCAGCCAGAAACAAGCAATACTGTTTTACAGTACAGCAGATTAATTTAGACATTTCGTAGTTCTATATCTGTTAAGGCAAGCATATGTCGTAGGATATTGCCTTCTGTATGGGTCGCTACTAATGCAACTTCATCTTTTTTTATTTTTTTTATTTTTATTTTTTTTTTTTTGGGGGGGGGGGGGGGGGGGAGGGGCTAGAACCATGATAAATATCAGAGCAGCGTCATTGTTGAAAGAAAAGAAGCAGCTGGAACCCCCTTGGCACAGATTTAACAATCTAGCTATTCTGTTCCTGCAGGATCAGTAATTATTCTAAGCCTTCTGCACCCAAAGAGACTGTCTAAGAGTGAGGCAGATTACATTTCAAAGCTATTATGCATACTTTACCTGGGATGGTATATTAAAGTCTCAAAACCCCATTTATACCCAGGACACTTACAAATCCAGTCATTACAGAGTAAAAGGCCGCAGAAGTTGATAGTCATATGCATCTCTAAGTCAAGAAAGCTGTTTGGTTCTAGCGGCTGAATCTCTTCGGACCAGTCAGTTTTAGGACTCACCGTTGCCAAGATGACATACATCATGAAATGTTCACTGCTCCCTTGACTTCACAGACTATTTCTTGTATTATTTTTGGAGGATTGTAAGGCTAGTCCGAATTTTCAGGTTAGGCTTCCAGTATGCAACGTAATTTCTTAGGCACAGGCTGCCCCTTTATACTTCGAAGAAATCTAAGTATCAACACTCACCAGCTATTAAGGTCAAATGGTTCATATCGCTGTATATTTCCATCATATTTTCATAGAAAGTACCCTCTCGGCCCCTCAGTGAACCGCTGCTCTCATGCGGCGTTGTGATATTGACTTTCTCCGCTCTAGCCGCCAGAAATCCTTTGGAAACAACGGTGCATATAGACGGCAACAGAAATGAACCTGTCATCTTCCCGAGCGCCATTTATGGCGTTTTGACGAGAGCAATATATCCAAGAATACCGTGACAAAAGGAGAAATATTAAAAATTTAAAAAAAAATTTAAAATTTTTTTTTAGGTAGACATGGTAGGGTTATTATTTCTCTAATCTGCTATGGTGTGGGGTAACCCTGGTGGCCCAAAGATACTCTTTGCCGTTGCTCGGGCATTTTATATTGGGGAACATATTCTGTGGTCCAAATGAAGGGGACTTTCGCCGCGCGGCTGCTGGTCATTGATTGCTTGTCAGAGAAAGGACGATGTACCAAGCGGGGGTGTAGATGCAAAATAGCCCCATTGGCGAAAGCAAGTTGGGCTTTGCTTAATAATTATTATCTTGTGTGACCCGTTGGATTAGACTCTCAGTGATTAACAACCCTTACCCATAACAGCCTCAACGCTTGCAACTGCAGTATCAAGTGCAGGTTTATCATAATAAGCCTTCAAGGTGACAAATAACTTACTAATTCCAGTGCTGCTCTCAACGAATATTATCCAATCAATCACAACCTCCATCTCCGGCCAATAAACCTCTGGAGGTTGCCACTTTTGCCAGGCAAGTGCCCAAGTTACCAGGAACTCCGGCAACGAGAATGAGCATTAATATGTTATTTTAAAGCCTATTTTACTTTCCTGAACAGTTTCTCATACATGGTTTGTCGACCAAATGCTTGAAAGATCAGATGAGTTGACACAATAGTTATTCCTTAGATGCCGGGTAATAAAGCTTAGTTATTGGGGGGTGGCGTGATACTAATTACCTTTTCTTGACAAAGTGTTGCAGTATCTCTATGCGACAGAGCAATTTATCAAAGCTAATAGTTCTCTCATATAGGCTAGCCACGGACCGATGTACCCATTCGCTCAGTTCAACATCAATTTTAACATCGTGGATTTAAGCATAAAAGACCTGGATAATCAAATACGAGAATGACAAAATATACACATATATATTAGGCTTGTTAATATTCTCAGTGACTACCTTTCTATAAAAACGAGCCATGTGAACACTCAGTGTTTTGGTTGTTATACACTCGGAGCTTCGTGTTCGCTCCTATCAGCTTGTGTTCGTATGACAAACCGTGAATCTATATGTTAGTATAGGTTAGGGTTTCCAAGGGACAAACCTTAGCTCTGGGTTCATGTTGGCGGATAGGCCAGGCTGGATATTCGGGCAATTATTAGCGTCACGAACGAAATTAGTAGGTCCAGAAGACTTAATTAAAGTTGTTCATGCTATTCATAACTGGCCATTTAACTATTCTGAACGAGTGTATCGAATGGTATATATAATGCGAAGCTCACTCAAGCTCACTTTCTGTAAGCGAGCCATTGCCTCTTTGGGAAGTGTGCTCACCTGGCTTCACAATCTCAAAGTGAGTCGTGCTTATGATTGGCTGTGCAGAATTACGGGTGCCTACCAGGTAGACCCTTTGTTGTGACCATAAGAGTTGGCTCGTAACCGTCCGCAATTAGGGGCGCTTAATCCTTATGGTATATTTATTTATTTATTTTATTATTAGCATCCACTAAGTAAGTTAGTTACATAAGTCCTTATCTAAGTATTAGGACAGTAAAAGCTATAGGTATTTAAATCCTACATTTACTATATTTTAATTTAATAAAAGAAAAAAAGAAAAAAAAAATATTAATTTATAATTATAAAAGGGAGGCTATATAAGTTTATTTCCTTTATTAATTTTTAAAACTTTTTATAACTTTTATAACTTAAAAAATATATAAAATATATAGCTTTAAATAAAAAGTTTTTTTTTAAAAGATTAAAAAAAAAATATAATTATTTAATATTTTATAAAATATTTTTAAATCTTAAGTTTATTATATTTATAAATAAATTTTATATTATAGTTAAACTTTTTATAATATTTTATAAACTTATTATAATTTAATTTTTTAACTAAAAGTTTATAAAAAATAAAATAAAAGAAATAAAATTTTAATAATATTATAAAAATATTAAATTATTATTATTTATAATAAAATAAATAATAATTATTTTAATAAAATTTTAATATTAATTTTTATTTTTATTTTTTTTTTATTTTTTAATATAAATAATTATAATATAATTATTTTTATATTTTAAAAGTTTTAAACTTTTTTTAATTAATTTATTAATTTTTTATTATTTAATATATTTTTATATTTAAAAATTTATATTATTTTTATAGTAATATAAAGTTATAGTTTTTTAATTATTTTCCTTAAGTTTATATATATATTTTAAAATACTATTAATATAATTTTTAAAATATTATTTATTATTATAAAATTATTTAAAAAAAAGTATTTTTTTAATATTTAAATTTAATATAATTTATAATTTTATAAGTTTTATAGTTTTAAAAACTTTAACTGTTTTTATATTATATACTTTTATATACTTTAAATAATTATATACAAAAGTAAATTTATAATTATAATATATAATTACTTTTTACTTTATATTTTTTATTTTATTTTATAATTTATTTAAATATATTAAAAATATAATTTAAAAAGAAAATTAATTAATTTTAAGTATTTTTTTATTATTTTTATTTTTAGTAAATTATAATAATTTAATTTTACTAAAACTGCTTTATTATTTTTAATAAAAAAAAAATTTAACTATTTTATTAATTAAAAAGGCTATATATTATAATTTAATTTATAAAATATTAAATAAAAGCTTTTTATTATTATATTTATTAATAAAATAATTTTTATTAAAGTTAATAAACTTAATTAATATTTAAAGTTTTACTTAAGTAAATATTATAAACGTTAATAAAACTTTAGATTTTTTATATATAACTATTATATTAATTATTTTTTAAATAAAAAAACTACTTTAATTATTATTTTAAAAGCTTTATTTATTTTTTTATTAACTTTAAAATATTAATAATTATTTATTTAAAAAAGTAAAATATATTTAATTTTTTATTTTTAAATTATTAAACCTTTATATTATATAATATTACTAAAATAATATAAACTTTAATTATAAATATTATTATATTTAAGAAAAAAACCTTTTTATATTTTATTAAATAACTTAGGGAAATTTACTATTTTAAAAGCTTTTTTAATTATTACTTTTATATATTTTTAAATAATAATTAAAAGTTAAAATAAACCTTTAATTACTTAATTAAATTTTATAATATAATAGTTTTTTTTTTTAAAATTTATACTTTCTTTATATATTTATTTCTTTATATAGTAAAAGTAAATAAACTTTATTTTATTTAAGTTAAAAAACATTATATTTTATTATTTTTACTTTAAAGTATTTCAAAGTTTTTATTAAAGCTTTT